ACCTTCAGAACCTGACACCTGTGAGTGGGACAGTACTTGATGACTTGATGTTTTGAGAAGTTTCTGACTTTTTCTATGGAAAATGGTCTGTTAGAGCCTTCTGTTGCTCTGGGTAAGCTGTGTGGTTTTCAGAAACTTTTCACTTCATCCGCAAGGGAGACTCTGCCCCTGCAGGCACGTTCTTGGTGATCTGACGCACAGGAGTCGGAGAACAATTGCCTCCTCTCTGTACCTTGAACCTGACCTACCTTCTGAGCCCGAGGGTTAGCGTGGTGTCCTGTTGGCTGCGCTGAGTCCGCCTCTCATTTCTTTAGCTCCCACACATAGCCTTCACAGAATCTAGTTTGCAGTCTTCCATGGGTAATAGTTCTTGACTAGGCTGGCAGATCTGTCAGGCCTGATTGATAGCTGTTTTAGGCTCTTGACCTCATTTGCTGAGAGCCCACCGTGCTGGAACAGGCTGCAACCAAGGAAGCTGACCTTGCTGCCCCTCGCTGCCAGGTACACAGCAAGCTTTCTCCAGCTACCACAAAAGTTACTTGTGAAAGGCAGAGTTGTGGCCGGCGCCGCGGATTAGCTCAATAGGCTAATCCTCCGCCTTGCGGCGCCGGTTCTAGTCCGGGTCAGGGAGCCGGATTCTGTCCCGGTTGCCCCTCTTCCAGGCCAGCTCTCTGCTGTGGCCAGGGAGTGCAGTGGAGGATGGCCCAGGTGCTTGGGCCCTGCACCCCATGGGAGACCAGGAGAAGCACCTGGCTCCTGCCATCGGATCAGCGCTGTGTGCCGGCCGCAGCGGCCATTGGAGGGTGAACCAGTGGCAAAGGAAGAGCTTTCTCTCTCACTGTCCACTCTGCCTGTCAAAAAAAAAAGGGGGGGGCAGAGTTGTACAGAAAGAGGGAGAGCAGATCTTCCGTCCCCCAGTTCATTGCCCACATGGCTGCGACAGCCGGGGCTGGGCCAAGCCAACGCCAGGAGGTGGAACCCCATCTGGGTTTCCCCAGTGGTGGCAGGCGCCCAACACCTGGCTGTCACCTGCTGCTTTCTCAGGTGCATTTACAGGGAGCCACATTGGAAGGGGGACAGTTTGGGCTTAAACTGTCTCTGATGAGATACCAGCTTCTTAAGTGGCTTTTTTTTTTTTTATTAATTTATTCTTGGGGCTGGCACTGTGGCGCAGTGGGTTAAAGCCCTGGCCTGAAGCACCAGCATCCCTTATGGGCACTGGTTCAAGACCCAGCTGCTCCACTTCTGATCGAGCTCTCTGCTATGGCCTGGGAAAGCAGTGGAAGATGGCCCAAGTCTTTGGGTCCCTGCACCCAAGTGGGAAACCTAAAAGAAGCTCCTGGCTCCTGGCTTTGCATTGGCCCAGCTCCAGCCATTATGGCCTACTGGGGAGTAAACCAGTGGATGGAAGACCTCTCTGTCTCTCTCTCTGCCTCTCCTCTCTGTGTGTAACTGACTTTCAAATAATATAAATTTCATAAATATTTATTTAAAATTAATTTGAAAGGCAGAATTAGGGAAAAGAGAGAGAAGAGAGGACAGACAGATGGATCTTGTATCCACTGGTTCATTCCCTAAATGGCCAGGGCTGAGCCAGGCCAAAGCCAGGAGACGGGAGCCTCATCCAGGTCTCCCATGTGGGCACAGGGGCCCAATTACTTGGGCTGTCTTCTGCTTTCCTAGGTGCACTAGCAGGGAGCTGGATCAGAAGTAGAGCAGCTGGGACTTGACCCATTGCCCATGTGGAGTGCTGGCATTGCAGATGGTAGCCTAACCTGTTAGGCCATGAGGCCGGCCTCTCGGGTTGCTTTTTAACCCACTGCCCACAATGCTGGCTCCCCGTTAGCCACCTTCTGAATTCTATGTTGCACTTGTTTTGGGATTCCTCGCTCTATACTCCTTGCCCCCTGGAGCAGTGGGTGTGGGGAGGAGGCGTGGGTCTACTGAGTGGGGGTTGGTACCCGTGGGTCAGATCCCAGGGACGGTGCAGGAGGTGCCTGGCCCTCCCAGCTGCTCCCTCTGGGAAGGTAGAAGAAGCCGCCTTCCTTTTTTGGTATCGCAGAACCTGTTCAGCGTTCTGTGGACTGGGATGCCGCTGCAGAGCAGTCAGAGTGCTGAGAGGAGGGTCTTGCCATGGTTATGCGATTTAGCTCCAAGATGGTCGATTTTTCCTCCTTCCTGGTCAGGGTCACTTTCTTCCAGGTACCCCTCCGCAGCGCCACTCTCTTCAGGTTGCCCCCAGCGTGGGCTGTGATGTCAGGTCTGGGTGTGCGCTCCAGCTCTGTCAGGTCCCACCTGTGCGGGGAAGTCTTTTTTTTTTTTTTTTTTTTCTTTTAAGATTCTAACTCTGCCTTTCAAATAAGAGGGGTCTTCCATCTACTGGTTCCTTCCCCAAATGGCCACAGTGGCCAGGGCTGGGCCAGTCTGACGCCAGGAGCTTCTTCCTGGTCTCCCACTTGGGTGCAGGGGCCTAAGCACTTGGGCCATCTTGTACTGCTTTCCCAGGCCATTAGCAGGGCGCTGGATCAGAAGTGGAATGGCTAGGACTCAAACTGGCACCCACATGGGATGCCGGTCACACCGGGGAGGCTTAGATTACTGCACCACAGTGCCAGCCCCGAGAAGTCTCTTAACCTCTCCAAGATTCTGTTTCCTCATAACAAAATGATGTCTTCACGTTTACAGTATTGTCAAGGTCTTAAGATATGCCTTGGATATGGTAGGTGTTCGGTTAATGTTATATATTGGTGCTATCTTGCTATTGCCGTTGGTTTTCTTATTCATTTTGTCTTCTAAAATATGCCGGAACTTGGGGAAGCAAGTTCAGTTGGCCCTCCACACTCAGGGGTTCCATATCAGGAGGTCCAGCCGGCTGATGGGAAATACTAAAAAGAGCACTCTGTACTGAACACGTGCAGACTTTCTGGTCATTATCCCCTAACAGTGCAGTGTAACAGCCATTTACGTAGCACTCACGCAGCATCATGTTAGTTATTAGAAGCCGTCCCGAGGTGACTCAGTGTCTGGGAGGAGGTGCAGAGGTTCTGTACAGGCACTTCCCCTCTTAACAGGGCACATGGGCATCTACATCCGCTGGGGGTGCGGGAACCAGTCCTCCTCGGCTGCCGCGGGGCAGTTACGCTTCCTCGAGAGGGAAGCCCCACTACAGCCGGGGAAGATGGACCTGGAGAGGACTTCAGGCAGGAACCCAAACCAGCAGATTCCCTGTAGGTCAGCCGTAGTTAGGTTCCAGCTAAGCAGGCACTTAATTTTTTGTTGTTGTTGTTGTTCTTAAGGTCTCCTTATTTATTTGATAGGCAGAATGACCGAATGAGAGGGAGAGACCGCGATCTTCCACTTGCTAGTTCACTCCCCAGATGGTAGCAGTGGCCAAAGCCAGGAGCTAGGAACTCCATTTTGATCTCCTACATGGGTGGTAGGGACCCAAGTACGTGGGCTAACTGTTGCGCATTAGCAGGGAGCTGGATTGGAAGTGGAGTAGCCAGGACTCAAACTGGTACTCGTATGAGATGCTGGTGCTACAGGAGGTGGTTTAACCAGCTGCGCCACAGTGCACCAAACTCCTCCCCGCCAAAGTGCTTCTTTTTTTAAGATATTTTTTTTGATAGGCAGAATGACAAAACTTTTTTTAAGGATTTATTTATTTGAAAGTCTGAGTTACACAGAAGGAGAGGCAGAGAGAGAGAGAGAGAGAGAGAGGTCTTCCATCTGCTGGTTGACTCCCTGATGGGCTGCAACAGCCAGAGCCATGCCTATCTGAAGCCAGGAGCTTCTTCTGGGTCTCCCGTGTGGGTGCAGGGGCCCGAGGACGTGGGCCATCTTCTGCTTTCCCAGGCCGTAGCAGAGAGCTGGATCGGAAGTGGAGCAGCCGGGACTCCAACCAGCACCCATACAGGATGCCGGCACTGCAGGTGGCGGCTTTACCCGCTATGCCACAGCGCCGGCCCCGACAGAGAACTTTGAAAACTGTTCCTGGCTACAGGATTCCCAAGGAATCCATGGGAATCAGTCTGAACTGTTAACTGTTAACAACAGTGTAAGGAGTGGAAGAACGAGAAGGCAACAGGCAGACTTTGGGTGAGTTTGTCCTCTTCACTGAGGTCTGGGGTACAATCCGTCTGAAACCTGAGTGGCTGTGGGCATCCATACCCCTTTGCTAAGAGAGGGAGCTGGTTTGACCCCATGACCTGGAGAGTGAGGCCGGAAAAGGGGAGCCCTGCTGGGCCGTTGGGAGAGGTGAGCCGGACAGCTTCTTTCCAAGCAGCTAAAGGTTAAGAGCGCAGACGTCTGCTCTCCATGGGGTGGGCGGGGCTTCCTAGATTCCTTCTGTGTTGCTGTAGTCTTGGCTGGCCTCACAGGAAAAGGAGCCAGGAAGTACCAGTTTGTTTCCTGGCCAGGCTGTCGTACTCAAGGGTCCTTGGGTTTCCAGTAGTGTTGAAAAGAGTTTCTGGTTTGCCAGGAGTCATTTTCCAGTACCCTGGTGCTGTTAACATTTGCTGGTTATTCTTGTCTTGGCCCAAACAAGAGAGGCTATTGTGTTTCTTCTTTCATCTGGAGAAGTGGTCGCTTGTCGCATAAATGTGATATATTTTTACATTGCCCCAGCATATCGTTGAATGTAAGTGTGCATAGCACCGAGCGTGGGACCTGGCCCGGCTCGGCGATCCCTGGCGGAACTGGGCTCCTGCCTGTCACTCGGTGTGGGGCATAGGTGAAGCTGGTTCTGTTTCCCTGTCCAAGCGAGTGATGTTGCAGGCTGAGGAACACAGTGGACCTGTCCCAGCCCCGGGAGAACAGTGGAAAGGAGCGAGTCCGGGCTGCTGGGACGGGCCCACCTGGCGGAGTGGGCACCACTTGAACTGCCCAGTCCAGCCAGGGAGCACCTGACCCGGGAGCGGTGGAGAAGCTGCTCCCCTCCTGGCCTGGCTGTCGCCCTCGAGGTGGGAAGAGACTGTGCACAGCGGCTTCTCATCTCCTAGGCCACCAAGGGAAAGGACCCAGCACCCGGGGCCAAGGACGGGAAGAGCCTCCTGGGGGGGCTGGCCCCTGCGGAGTCCAGCTGGGCGCAACACCGGCAGCGGCGCCTGCAGGACCACGGCAAGGAGAGGAAGGAGCTGTTCTCCACCACGTCTTCCCAGGTACGGGGGTGCCCGGGGAGGCGCCGCCAGCACTGTGGAGTGCCTCTCCTCGGAGCGCTGCTGCCGCCGGGCAGAGCGCGTTCGCCCGGTCCTCTCGGGTGCTTGCACTCCGCGTCTTTGCCTGGCTCTTCCGCGGTCCTTCTCCCCGACGCTGCAGCGTTGGCCCAAGTAGGGGCCGGAGATCGCAAGGCTCCGCAGGGGACTCTGGGGCTTGGCTGTCACCGTGCAGACGAGTTAGGGGTGCGTGTGCGTGTGTGTGAGTGAGAGTGTCATAAGCTTTCTAAGACCTGGGGAAGAGGGTGCAGTTCCCTCGGTGTCGCCTGAGTCGCCCAGAGTGGCTTGACCTCAGGATCCCTTTCTCCTGCGCTGAGGCCACGTGCCCACACGGCGAGCTGCTGTGGCATGGGCCCTGCTGAGAGGACCCCCCTCTCCGTGGGACTGGGTCAGGCACGGCACGAACTGCTCCTTCTCCCAGATACTCCCGGTGAAGGCAGAAGTCCCGAGACAGGACTGGGTCTCGTGCCCACGTTACCTTCTGGACCACGTAGCCCCTCCCGGGGGGCTCCTTGCCAGTGCCAGTGCCAGAGCATTGTTGAACAGCCCCATGGCGGATCCAGCTTGGTGGCAGTGGGCTCGTATCTCATCTCCAGTCTTCCTGCCCCGGCCTAGATGACTCGATGTACTTGGAGTCCAGCCACAGCCCCATAAAGTCTGCAGTTCCTCTGAATCACTCCTCGGGCCGCCCTGGGGGAGCACGGGGAACCCCAGGGTGGTGGAGCATTCCCTGGCTGACCTCCTGAGGCCTGGGGTGTGTCTGAGCACCAGGTGATCAGTGGCCAGCACGTGGTGCCACCCGGGCATCTGGGATCGCCCAGCTGTCCTTGGGTGTCTGCATGCCTAGCTGGTTGGCTCAGTTTCTCAGTCTCGCGATGCCCACCTCCTGTACTGGGGAGGGGCCGGGGCCAGGCTTCACTCTGGCATCCAGGTTCTGCCCCTTGCCAGCCTTGGGACCTTGGGCAGGTACATAGCCTTCTGCTCTGCCTTAGCTCCTGAGCTGCAAGGTGCAGTTAGTAATCAGATCTCGCATGATTTTCGGGAGACTTAGAAAAGCTAGGTGACTGGAAGCCTGGTCCGCAGTGGGCTTCCACTCGAAGTGTTGCCTTCAGCCTGGCCTGCTGCCACACAGGTGCGTGTCCTGAATCTAGTTACCTGTGACAGGGAGGGAGGGGAGGGGAGCCAGGGCGAGCTGGGTGCTGCCTCCACGGCTCAGGGCTCACCTCTGCATCCCGTGCCCATCCGGAAGCGCCCAGCACACCAGGGCCAGGCCAGATACCCCATGGTGTGCTCCTGGGCACGGGGCCCCTTCTCAGCTGCCTTGTCTCCACTTCAGCAGCCACAGGGTGCGGAGAAGAAGCCGGAAGCTAGCGGCCCAGAGGCGGAGCCCTGCCCGGAACTGCACGTGGAGCCCGCGGAGCCCCTGACACGGGCGTCCTCGGCCAGCGCAGAGGGGGCAGGAGCCCGCCCCGAGCAGCCCTTCATCGTGCTGGGCCAGGAGGAGTACGGGGAGCACCACTCGTCCATCATGCACTGCAGGTGGGCCGGCCGCCAGGGACAGCCCTGGAAGCCTGCAGTTCCGGGGATTGCCAGGGAAGGTGTGGCAACAGGAGGATGGAGAGAACAGTGGTAGGGTGGGGAGGGTGCCCCAAGGACCCTGGTCTCTCCTGAAAGTTGAGAGGAGGAGGGCTGCGTGACTGCCACCTGGTGGCCCTGCTCGGAGTTGCCTCTGGACTGGCCTCGCCGCCGTTTCTGATCTGTCTCTGGGCTTTAGGAACAAGTCATCGTTTATCTGAACCCCCAGGACTCGCTCAATTTTAGTTTCCTTAGGATGGTACCATAGGTAAATGGTTATCAATTGTGAGTTTCCGACGTCACTAAACGTGGCCTGTGGAAGACACGCTCGCGGAGTGTGGTTCTCAGGACGGGGCGGCTCCTTTGACAGCCCCGCTGGCGTGTGACGCGGGCTCTCGGCCTCCGTAGACTGCTGGGACCCGAGGCGGGGCTGTGACACTTGCTGTTCTGGCCCTGGTGTTGCCACGTGACGAGCTCAGACGTCCTACGTGCTGAACGCGTGTTTTGGGCAGTGTGTGATGTCCAGAGTCGTCTGTGCTCGTCCTTGGAGTGCAGGCCACCGGGGTTGTTTTTAAACACAGGGGGTGGGGGTTGGGGGAAGCCAGGAAGGTAGTGCCCCGCCGTGGGCTGACGAGGATTGAGGCCAGGATGCCAGCGTCTCTTCCTGTTGTGTCTAGAGTGGACTGCTCGGGCAGGAGGGTCGCCAGCCTCGACGTGGACGGCGTCATCAAGGTGTGGTCCTTCAACCCGATCATGCAGACCAAAGCGTCCTCCATCTCCAAGTCGCCCCTGCTCTCTCTTGAGTGGGCCACCAAGCGAGACAGGCTGGTGAGTGGTGCTTGGCCCACAGTGCGCACTCCCTGGGGGTCCCCACGGGCCGAGCCGAGGCGGCCGCGCCACGTCCCCCTCCCTCCTGTCCACCAGGGGCCACTGGGGGACCACACAGCCAGGACTGGCCCTGCCAGCTCCCGGGTGGGTGGCAGTGAGGTGTCTGGGTTTACAGAGCTGCAGATGAGCCGCAGGCTCCTTCCTGCCTGTGGCAGTCTGCCCTGAGAGGCCGCCTGACCTCCTGGCCGCCCCGCCCGTCCCTGCTAGTCCCCAGGTTCTCTGCATGTGCCCTCCTGTCCAGGCCCGGCAGGAAGTGGCTGGGGAGGGGTGGTGTGAGCCCTTTTGTGCTTCCCAGGGGCCTGATTGCCTCCAGGAGAACACCATACCCATCCTTCGCCCCTCTGGGCTTCGCTGTTGAGTGGGGGAGTGGGAGTTGAGGGGGTCAGAGTCACTGAGGTTCCTCTTTGAATCCATTTCGTGGGGACCACTCCCGCAGCCCAGGGCACAGCCGGCTTTCTACGCTTCTGACAGCTGAGGGAGTTCCTTCGGAGGCTCTGGGGTCTCGAGGCTTGCCCTCGACCAGCATCCCTTGGCCAGGCAAATGCCGAGGCCGCCGTCTGGCAAGTGTTCCTGGGGGCGTCCTCGGAGCTGGCTGCCGCTTGCGTGTTCTGTGGTGGCGCTCACTGCTGCCTTTGGAGCTGTTCCCAGATAAACCACACGTTCCTCCAGACGAGGGAGGTCTCTTCACAGAGCCGGAGCCCTCCCCTGCAGAGCCGCAGGGCGCGGGCAGTCACCTAGGCCCCGGTAGCCGCCAGAGCTGTAGCCAGGAGGGGCCCGAGGTAGATCAGGAGCTGGAAGGAAGGGTTTGGGGCAGCTGGGATTGAAAACTGAAAGAATGGCCGATCTGGGAGTCTCATTTAAGCAGACAGAAGGAGTCCCGGTGTATTCACGGTGACATCTCCCCCATTTCCACAGATGGCTTTTGTGGTTCTGTTTGCTCCAGGTCGGCGCTAATGTTCTTTAATTAAAAAGATTATTTTCTGTTATCCTTATTTAATTGGTTTTCATTTACTTGAAAGGCAGGGAGGTGGAGACCTTCCACTTGCTGGTTTATTCCCCAGATGCCTGCGATAGCTGGTCCTGGCCAGGCCAAAGCTAGGAGCTGGGAACTCCATCTGGGTCTCCCACGCAGGTAGTACCCGAGCCATCACCCACAGCCGCCCAAGGTGTGCACTGGCAGGAAGCTGGGATCGGAAGCGGAACTGCGACTCAAACCCAGGCACTGCAGTATGGGATGTGGCCGTCCCAGGCCGTGTCTTAACCACTGTCAAATGCCGGCCTTCTGCTTTATTTTTAAATTTGAGAGGCAGAGAGATCCCGTCCACCGATTGATTCCCCAGGTGCCCTCGTTAGCCCCCTGGCTGGGACTGAAGCCAGGAGTCAGGAACTCAGCCCAGGTCCCCAGGTGGGTGGCAGGGACTCGGATACTTGAGTTATCACCTGCTGTCTCCCAGAGTGTGCACCAGCAGGAAGCTGGGGTCAGGGGCCGGAGCTGGGGCTTGGACCCAGGGACTCCGGTACGGGATGTGGGTGTCCCAGCCTGCATCTCCGCCGTCAGGCTGTACGCCTGCCCTGCTTCATTTACTCTCCAGGGGAAGTCCCCTGAGGCCCGAGTTCTCCTGCCTGCATGGAGAACTGGAGGAGGAACAGGCCTGGCGTCTGAGGTCCTCGCTGACTGTGCCTGCCTCCCACGCTGTCCCTCCCACCTCCTGCCCCTTCTCGTTCCAGCTCCTGCTGGGCAGCGGCATGGGGACGGTGCGTCTCTACGACACAGAAGCCAAGAAGAACCTGTGTGAAATCAGCATCAGTGACGACATGCCCCGGTGAGCGGAGGCCCGAGCCTCACTCCCTGCCTCCCCGCGCCTGGGCCGGGCGTCTGACCCAGCCTCGCGTGTGTTACAGAATCCTGTCTCTGGCGTGCAGCCCCAGCGGGGCCTCCTTCGTCTGCTCGGCGGCAGCTCCAAGCCTCACTTCCCAGGTGGACTCCACAGCCAAGGGCGTGAACCAGGTTCCCGGCAAGCTGCTGCTGTGGGACACGAAGACCATGAAGCAGCAGGTACGGGACCTGCCCGGTGGCTGGGCCCCAGACTCGGAGGGCGCCCTGTCTGTGCTCCCCAGGGGCGCTGGCTGGTTTCCCTCCGCTATTGGCTTTACTCTCTTCCCACGTCTGACTCGTGAGAAGGTCGCAAAGTGTTCAGTGTTGAAAAATGGTGTCCTCTAACTGGGCAAATTGTTGGCAACTTCAGAACTGTGCCACAAACTTGGAGGTCACCCAAACCTGCCAGGGGGTTCTTGGGTTTGTTTTTGCCTGTTTCCTTCTGACTTTTTTTTTTTTTTTTTTTTTTTTTTTAAAGATCTTAGAAAGTTAGAGATCTCACATCTTCTGGTTAACTACCTAGATGGCTGCAACAGCCGGAGCTGAGCTGATCCAAAGCCAGGAGTCAGGAGCTTCTTCCAGGTCTCCCATGCAGTATAGGGGCCCAAGGACTTGAGCCATCTTCTACTGCTTTCCCAGGCCATAGCAGAGAGCTGGATTGGAAGTGGAGCAGCCAGGGCCTGAACTGGTGCCCGTATGGGATGCCAGTCTAGCAGGAAGAGGCTTAGCCCACTGTGCCACAGCACCAGCCCCTGGTTTTTAAATTCTAAAGTTTATTCTTTATAAGTGATGTTGGGATTTATCTGTTTTCTGAATCTCAGGATTTGTGTTTTTGTTCAGTTCTGGAAGGTTCTTAATCATCATTTTTTTCTGTATTACAGCTCTCTGAATTCTTTTCTTCTGGAACTCCAGTTAGCTGTGTTAGAACTTCTCTGCCCCCTTTTCGTTTCGCTTTGCTGCCTTCTTGATGTTGATTTCTTCAGCTCTTTCAGTGTGCCAGTTCTGTCCTCCGCCGCGCCTAGTCGCCGATTTAAACCACTAGGACACCAATTTCAGTTACTGTATTTCTCAGATCTAGAAGCTCGACTTCATTTTGCAGACCTGCTTTGTTGCACATCTAGTTCTGCGCTTTTACCCATATCTTCAGTCCCTTCTGTTTTGTCGGACATGTTGAATCCAGTCATCAAATTCTGACAACACAGATGCCTGCAGCCTTTGTGGCTGTGATTCTGCCGTTCCTTCTTATGCCGTGTGCTCCTGTGTCCTGTGAATTTTGGCGTGGCTTTATTTCTTAGGCCTTTGTCCTTAAGAATATTCTGGGGGTGGGGCTGGCCTTGTGGCTCAGAAGGTTAAAGCCCCAGCCTGCAGTGCCGGCACCCCATGTAGGTGCTGGTTCAAGTCCTGGCTGTTCCACTTCCGATCCAGCTCCCTGCTAAGGCACCTGGGAAAACAGTGGAGGACCACCCAAGTCCTTGGGCCCCTGCACCCACAAAGGAGACCTTGAAGAAGCTCTTGGCTTTGGATCAGCTCAGTTCTGGCTGTTGTAGCCATTTCAGAAGTGAACCAGCAGATGGAAGACCTCTCTCTCTCTCTCTCTCTCTCTACCTGTCTTTGAAATAAATTATATATATATATATTAAAAATATTCTGGGGCTTGGAGGGGAGGTCGTTTCTCGGGAGAAGATTTGCACTTGCTCGTCCCCGGTGCCTGGGGCCCTCCAGGCCTGGCAGGTGTGCTTTCTCTGCCTGTGGTTTCTGTCTGCCTGGGGATTGTGAATTTGGGATATAAACCCCATCGGCACTGGTTGGTGGTCAGGATTTGCAGAGAAGCAGGTAGGCTCGTTTGCAGTCCTTCCCTGCACTGGGTCCAGCCTTGTTGGAGCCGCAGCTTCACATGCAGTGTGTTCCTGCCGGGCCTCGGGCAGGGCTGGCCCCGCTGTCTCCAGGCTCGTAAGCTTCTCGGGGCTCCGTGGGAACCTGGGTCGTCGGGGTGTGGAGGATGCCTCCGTGCGAAAGCCAGCTTTGGACGTCACCGGTGCTCACGTCCCTGCCTTCTTCCAGTGCCTGCCTTCGCTCTGAAGAGTCCTTTGCCAGCTCAGTGTGTGTGTGTGAGAGAGAGAGAGAGAGACAGACAGACAGACAGACTCGTTTACATCCTGTGTTGTATTTCTAGTTTCCTGGGCTTCCACGTTCTTTGGAATGCTCATCTTCGTCGGTTCAGCCATTCTGGGCGGCTGGCTTACCTGCCCCTGTCTGAATGTGTCGATAGGGAAGGTGTGGGGCTTGCTGGGAGGCCTGTGCACAGCCAGGCTCGGTCACGGAGGGTTGCCTGTCAACAAAGCGTTGGTCCCCGTGGGCAGGAGGACTTTGCAGTGAGACGTAGCTTGGCGTGCACTGTGAGTGCTGTCCGGGTGGCGAACACGTGGGTTCCTCGTTGGATAGCTGAGCAAGAATGGATTAGTCTGCAGGCACAGAGACCTTGCCTCTTCAGAGTGTGGAAGGTCATGGGCAGCACACCTGGCAAAGCTCGGCTCCCCGTCTCCGGGAGGAAGTCGCAGAGGAGGGGCCGGTGGGAAGACGGCCTGGGCCGCCGGTGGTGGCTGTGGCTGAGCTGGTCACTAATCGCGTGTCTGGTTTTCTTTCTTCAATAGCTCCAGTTCTCCCTGGATCCCGAGCCCATTGCCATCAACTGTACAGCCTTCAATCACAACGGGAACCTGCTGGTCACGGGGGCGGCCGACGGTGCCATCCGGCTGTTTGGTATGCGGGCGCCCCGTTGCTCTCGGTCCCAGAGGATGGAGTTGGAGTTTTGGCCAGACTAAAGGCTGTTGCAGAATCCCATCTCGAATGTGTGTGCTAGAGCTTATCTCTGCTCAGTTCTCAGAACGCCATCCTCGGCTCGCAGGAGACATATGAAGGGGTGGGGCTTGGCAGTCCTTGGGCTGGAGCTGTTTGGTTGAGTCCTGGCCACCTGTGTGGGCTCCAGCAGGACATGGGAGAGGGATGCTGTCCTGCCTGCTTGCTCTAGGTGACTAATTCTGTCCCCAGGAGACATCTGATGGGACGAACCACCTGTATCTTTTTTTTTTTTTAATCTTTATTTATTTATTTGAAAGTTAGGGAAGGAAGGAAGGAGAGACAGATCTTCCATCAGCTGATTCACTCCCCAGATGGCTGCAATGGCCAGAGCTGGGCCCATTCGAAGCCAGGAGCTTCTTCCTGGTCACTCACGTGGGTTCAGAGGCCCAAACACTTGGGTCATCCTCTGTTGTTTTCCCAGGCGCATTAGCAGGGAGCTGGGAGCTGGATTGGAAATGGAGCAGCCAGGACTCAAACTGGTGCCCATATAGGATGCCAGTGCCACAGGCAGTGGCTTTACCCACTGTACCATAGCACTGGCCCCAAACCACCTGTGTGTTACCAAACCCCTGGTCATAGGAAGCCCCACAGGAAGGACTGCTGCGCTTACAGGCTCCCCAGATGAGCTCCAGCCCCCAGAAATGCCCAGGCCTCCCCTTGTGCACTTCAGAGGCAGCCTGGCCTCTGGGGCGGGGGTCAGCCCTGTGATGCCTGTTGGGGCCAGGAGGCCCCCAGCCTCCAGGGCAGCTGTCAGCCCGAGCAGGGAGTGAGGGGCGCCTACAGGTGGCGGGCGACTTCCACGGTGTCCTGGTTGGAACCCCTGTGACGTCTCTCTGCCCCAGACATGCAGCAACACGAGTGCGCCATGAGCTGGCAGGCGCACTGCGGGGAGGTCTACTCCGTGGAGTTCAGCTACGACGAGAACACCGTGTACAGCATCGGCGAGGACGGGAAGGTAGGCGCCGTGGGATTGAGATCTGAGAGGGCTGCCTTAGTCTGATCAGTGTGGCAGCTGTGCCCTTGGGCCTTCTCCACCTCCGTTTTGTCATTCTGTAAATTGGGGATAAAATAGGAATCCATCATGGGGGGTCTTTGAGGCTGAGCTGAGGTCCGTGGGAACAGGCTGTCCTGATGGAAGGGGGTGGCACACCCTTTGTCCTCTGTGCAGCCAAGGGGAGTCCGCTTGCTGTCGATGGGTGCAGGGGATCCAGATGGGGGCCACGGTGCACCTTGGCGAGCTTAGGTACTGGGGGCTCACAAAAGCACCATGGGTGCACGGAGCTGCCAGGGGGGCTGGGAGCAGCTTCTCCAAGGTACATGGGTCTGAGCAGAGTCGAGATGTATAAAAGAAGCTAGGAAAAAAGAGGGGACACCTGGTGTGGCAGGACACGGAGGGCGTGGGCAGGTGCTGCCTTGAAGGGAGCTGGGGGTGGGGCTGAGTGAGAAGGCTCCCAGCTGCCCTCCTGCCCCTTCGGGATGTGGCAGGACCTGCGTGTATTCTTTACCAAAATCTGACATCATTTGTAAGCCATAGGAAGGGATTTATTTCCTAAAATTTATTTATTTGAAAGGCAAAGTTACAGAGAGGCAGAGACGGGGGGTGGGGGAGGCGTTTTTCCATTAACTGGTTCACTCCCCATATGGCTGGAGCTGGGCTGATCCGAAGCCAGGAGCCAGGTGCTGCTTTTGGGTCTCCCATGCAGGTGCAGGGGCCCAAGCACTTGGCCATCTTCTCCTGCTTTCCCAGGCCATAGCAGAGAGCTGGATTGGAAGTGGAGGAGCCGGGATTCAAACTGACGCCCATATGGGATGCCGGCACTGCAGGCAGTGGCTTTACCTGCTACACCACAGTGCCAGCCCCAGGAAGGGATTTTTAAACTGCAGCTCGACGTCCTGGCTGTGTGGGGAGGATTCCCAGGGACGGGGTGGCCGAAGCCAAGTAGCTCGTCCCTGGGACCGGCGGGCGGATTGCGCGCTAAAGTGAAGGCTGCAGGGCGTGGGGCTGCGGCCCGCGTGTTCAGCTGCGCCACGCAGATGCGGGAGACGGATGTGGGCTCGTCCTCGGTGCCCTGCTCCTCAGTGGGAAAAGGCCAGTCGGGCCGCCAGCCTGACCGTGACAGCGGGTGCTTGAAGCATTCTCTCTGCTTGAGAGATGGAGTCCACACGGGGCCGTTGCTGTCCCCTGTCCCTCCTGTGTAAGGCCCAAGGGAGGAGGCTTGGACTCTGACCTTGGCCAGGCCGCTGTTCTGCCGTGGGCACTGGAGAGCCCTCTGCACGGCCATCACAGGCGTGGCTGGGGCAGGCGCGTTGCGTCAGCCCTGCCAGCCTCGGCGCCGGCGCTGGCCCTGGCTCTTCTCCCGGCAGGCAGTGGGCCTCCCTGAGCGCACACTCTGTGCTTCGTGCCCGCAGTTCATCCAGTGGAACATCCACAAGAGCGGCCTCAAGGTGTCGGAGTACAGCCTCCCGGCGGACGCCACGGGCCCCTTCGTGCTGTCCGGTTACAGCGGCTACAAGCAGGTGCAAGTGCCCAGGGGCCGGCTCTTTGCCTTTGACTCGGAGGGCAACTACATGCTGACGTGTTCTGCCACCGGGGGCGTCATCTACAAGGTAAACGGGCGTGGGGGTTGTGGTGAGCAGGGGGCTCCTCTCCGCGGGCCAGGGCTGTGTCTGAGCCGAGCGTGGCCCTGGGTTTGGGGAGATCTTCTCTACTGGCTCTTTTGAAATAGATAATTTTTTAATAGAAAACTTCTATTTAATAAATATAAATTTCATAGGTACATATTTTGGATTATAGCAGTTCGTGCCCCTATAACCACCCTCTCACCTGCAAACCATCCCATCTCCTACTCCCTCTCCCATCCCATTCTTTATTAAGATTCACTTTTAATTATCTTTATATACAGATCAGCTCTATACTAAGATTTCAACAGATTGCACCCACACAGACACACAAAGTATAACGTGCTGTTTGAAGACTAGTTTTTTAAGATTTATTTATTTGAAAGGCAGAGTTACACAGAGAAGGGAGGAGAGGCAGGGAGAGAGGTTTTCCATCCTCTGGCTCACTCCCCAGATGGCCACAACAGCCAGAGCTGTGCCACTCTGAAGCCAGGAGCCAGGAGCTTCCTCCGGGTCTCCCACATGGGTGCAGGGCCCAAGCACTTGGGCCATCCTCCACTGTTTTCCCAGGCCACAGCAGAGAGCCGGATTGGAAGAGGAGCAGCCGGGGCTCAAACTGGCACCCATGTAGGATGCCGGCACTGCAGGTGTCGGCTTTACCCTCTATGCCACGGTGCTGGCCCCTGAAGACTAATTTTACTGCTAATTCTCATAGTACGACATATTAAGGACAGAGATCCTACATGGGGAGTAAGTGCACAATGACTCCTGTTGATTTAACAATTGATACTCTTACTTATGACGTCAGCAATCATCCAAGGCTCTTGGAATGTGCTGCCAAGGCTATGGAAGCCTCTTGAGTTCGCCAGCTCTGACGTCATTTAGACAAGGTCATAGTCAAAGTGGGAGTCCCCTCCTCCCTTCTGTGTTAGTGCTGCTCTCAGATGGACGAGTGAAGATCTGTGTTACGGCCTGCACCTGTGTGTCTGGTACCGAGCGAATTTGCTTCCTAGGCTCAGAGCTGATCTCTAACTGTGCTGGAGGTTGGTCTGTGGGTAACAGGCAGTCCCACGTGGGGAGTGTTCTCAGTCCCTGTGGCACGTGTCTGGGGCAGCAGCTGAGGGCCAGGTGTCAGGGCAGGGAGATGAGGTGTGACCAGGACCCTCGGGGAGCTCACACGCCAGCAGTGGGGCAGCAGTGTGGAGCCCGTGAGCCGGCCCTGGGGGAGGAAGCTGGGAGGGTGTTGGCTCCGGGCAGGTGGCAGTCCGTGGATCAGAGGTCTTGGGGGCAGGAGGGGTCAGGTGGACAGGGAGGAAGGGAGGCCTTGGCGGGGAGGGGGGTGGCCCCCCAGGGGCAGAGGCAGGGAGAGCATGCAGTGGGTCCTGGGTCCTGGGTCCTGCGTGCAGGAAAGGGCGTGAGGGGGCAGTGGGGAGCCTTCTCCGCGGAGACGTGTGTGAGCGTGCGCCGTGGGATCCGGCTCGAGCATGCGCCTCTCCCGGAGGGGGATTTGGGTGCCCCTTGCCCTCTCCTTAAAACTTAACCCTCTAACTTCCCCACACTGCAATGGAGATACCATGAAAACTGGTCAGTGTTTGGTCCCCTGGAGCTCTGAGGTGGTTTCCAGGTGCGCTAGCTTCGCGTGGTGCACAGACCTGCGTGTGCGCGTGAGCGTGGGTGTGTTTTAATCTTGTAGCCGTAAGCCACTGGCCTGCGTGGCTCTATGATTTGCAGTAGACTCACGGTGTACCTGACTCCTCTGTGTAACTCGGCACATGTCAGGGGTTTCGTCACGTTAGGAGCCTACAGAGCTTCAGCTCCCTTCCTTACGACGTGGAAACCGTTTGTACTTCTCTGCTCCATGACGCTGACCTCGTGACCCGTGGGTGTCCTGTGCAGCAGGACTGACAGTATGTGTTCGCTCCTGGTTCCCCAGGAGCTTCTGAGTGCCCAACGTGCGCGGGACTGTGGAGAGCAGTGCTCCTGGGCTCGGGGCCTCCCCTGGCCACACTGCAGGGGAGAGCTGGCCAGGACCCTGCGGTCCCCAGCCGGGGAAGCGACCCCAAACAAATCAGCAGGTGCAAGAGCCCGTGTCAGGTCGTGATGAGCGATGCTTAAGGGCGCACCCGGGGCAGGTGCAGGAGTCACAAGCGCAAGGCAAGCTCGTGGTGGCAGAGAAAGTCCCTTCCTGGCAGAGGCTTCCCAGGGGAGCTTGTGTGCACCTGAGACGGACCAGCTGGAGTCGGGAAGGAGGAAGGCCTGCCTGGTCTGAGCCGGTGTAAACAGACTCGGGAAAGACAGGCCTGCCCCCCCCGCCCCGGCGGGTAAGGTGGCTGGGTTTGTAAGTGGCGTCTGCTGCCTGTCTCTCCTCTGTCCGCTTGCAGCTAGGTGGTGATGAGAAGGTCCTGGAGAGCTGCCTGAGCCTGGGTGGCCACCGGGCCCCCGTGGTCACCGTGGACTGGAGCACCGCCATGGACTGCGGGACCTGCCTCACCGCCTCCATGGACGGCAAGATCAAGCTGACCACGCTGCTGGCCCATAAGCTCTGACGGACGTGGCCCGAGCGGCACCAGGGAAGCAGTGTTAGCCTGGGCGCCCTGTGAATCCGCAGGGAGAGGTCTTCCGCGGGGCTCGGGCACTGCCCAGCTGCCGTGACTGGAGGGGAGCCCGTGCAGGAGGAGGCGGGTGCTTCCCAGAGACCAGTGCAGTGGGCTGTGCCGGGAGCAGCCTTTAGCGTGCGGGAGGAAGCGATGTGACGGTGGCTGCTGTGTTGGCCCAGGAGAGACGGACAGTATTTTGTATATATTTGCTCACTTTTTAAAAAAAAAATTCTGTGGTCACCTGGTGTGTCTCTCTAGGACGTGTGTGTCCTGTCACTCTGGTGGTGGTTGGCACTGGGCTGCCTGGCCCCGCAGCCCCACGGGGGACTGCGCCTGCCTCTCTGGCCACGGCCGAGCCTCGTGGGCATCGGGTCTGCCTGTTGCTCTGCTGTGGTGTGGGATGTGGGCTCCCTTTCTTTCCACCGGGTGACACGGTTTTGCGGTTGTTGCTTCTCTGGGCACTCGGGTCAAGGCCAGTGTGTCCTCTTGAGCCGGCAGCGTTGGCTACAGAAGCCTCTCTGGGAGAGGCAGGGCTGTGCTGCTGGCTGCCCCTCGCCATCTACCTGGCTGCTTTTCCCAGTATCACTTGAGTGTCACTGGGGTTGACCGGCCCCAGCCGCCTGCGCCCTCTGCTGGTGGGTGGCGAGAGGGTCTGAGCAAGCTGCCAAGTGGCTGGGCAGACAGGGGCTCAGGCTGGCACAATTCCGGCTGAATGCACACCTCTGCCCAGGCCTGCCCTCTCCACCCTGGCTGGGGCAGGGTCTTGAAGAGGCCGATCCTCCCGTTAGGTCAGCAGTAGCAGGAGATCCACCCTTCTCCCTACTGCACGCTGCAGCTGGGACAGGGGGCCTGGGAGGAGCCAGAGTGGCTGTGGTGGGTGTGGGCTTCGGGCTCCGTGGTCACCGAGCTCCGGAAGGCTGCCATTGCAAGCTTCTTGAAGAGGCTTTTCGGAGCGTCTGGGCTCCGGCCCAGTTCTGGTCACGCGCAGCTGGAGTGGGGCACCTGCTGGTTGTCGGTTTGGGGAAGAGCACACAGAAATCTGCACTAAAGCTCCTCTGGGAGTTGGTGAAGACAGGAGGCAGCATGGACGTGGCCTGTGGGTGGTCAACGTGAGGCTTCATGGTAAGCAGTCACCCAGCCGTTTCTGCACAGCTCTACCCCGGTAAAGCCCTCCAATGATGCAAGGCAAGGCTTCTTCCTCCATCATTTTCCCTACGTGTTGTACACGAACGGCACCCTTACTTATCTCACGGAGTGATTTCCTAGGGCATTAAAAGTACGCCTGGGTTGTTTTTATTTGAAAGGCAGAGTTACACAGCAAGAGAGGAGAGACGGCGGATCCTCCATCTGCTGGTTCACTCCCCAAATAGCCACAACAGCCAGGACTGGGCCTGGCTGAAGCCGGGAGCCAGGAGCTTCCTCCTGGTCTGCCATGTGGGTGCAGAGGCCCAAGCACTTGGGCCATCCTCCACTGCTTCCCCAGGCCCTTAGCAGGGAGCTGGATGGGAAGCAGGGCGGCTGGGACTCGAACCAGCAGGCATATGGGGTGCTGGCATTGCAGGCGGTAGCTTAACCCGCTAAGCCACAGCGCTGGCCCCGTCACGTCAAATCTTACACTTCTGTCTCCTTCAGAACACCTGCTGCGCACCCACTCAAGACCCCCAGCGAGGCTCCTCCCTCCATTCATTCTCCTGAGGAAGGCAGCGCAGAAGAAAGCCATCAAGCCGGGACATTCCTCAGCCCCCTGAGCCTGCGCACCTGTCCAGGTGTGGACCTTCCACTCTGGCCCGGGCTCTGCTGGGAGCCTCACAGGCGCCCTTCCCTTCCCTCCACCCCCTCCCCGTGACCTGCCCTGTGGCACGGCCCCCAGCTGCTTCAGGAAGTACCTGTCCCTGGTGGGATGACCCAGTGGATCTAGGAAAAACGGGCATGACGGTGTGCAGTAAGTCTTGTGGCTTTCATCAACAAAACAGGGGCTTCAGGCTGTGGACCCCAAGCCACGTAAATCACATGGCTCCACTTCCTTCCCCCTGCCCCGTGTCTGCTTGTGGACAAGGCTGGTTGTGGGGACGCCCAGGCTTCCTGCTCACAAGCCTGGTCGGCCGTGGGGGTGCAGCTGTGCTAACGGCAAGTGTCCACGCCCCTCCACCCCAGCCCGGTAGACTAGCTCACAGCTTGTAGGATCCAGGGCTACGTCCCTGACCTACACCTGCCTGGTGCGGAGAAGGAGCAGGTTCCTCCCCAGTTGTGCCTGCGTCCTGGACAGGCGGACTTGACCCAGTGGAAGCCTAGCCGACCCCCTACCCGGGCTGGCTGGTTTATCTCACGAAGTCTTGATGTATTTCAGCTTCCCTAGGATCGCGTATGCTGTTCGGGAAGAGCAGAGACCACGGTTTAGAGAAACCAAAGGCTCCGCTCCGGAAGAGGGCGCCGCGGGCCGTGCAGCGCGAGGGGTCTCCAAGCTCTGGGCACCTCTGCCTGTGGCCCGATCTCCTTCTGGGGGCAGGTGGTATCGGATCTCGTCATCCCAGTCCCTTAAAAGGTAGAAGGGGGAGGGCTCTGTGCGAGAGCCCCCGCCGCCCACTTGCCCTCCAGCTCCCTACTAATGCTCGGAGAAGGGCAAGTGCCATGGCCCAAGAGCCTGGGTCCCTGCCACCCACGTGGGAAACCAACATGGGGTTCTGGTTTCAGCCTGGTCCAGCCGCAACCATTGCAGTGATTTGGGGAGTCAACCGGTGGATGGGAAATTCCCCCACGCCCCACCCCCACACTCAGGCTTTCAATCTGTAAGGGCGGGGGTGGGGAAGCGCTCAGGACTTGAAGGTTGGACACGACACGCCCGCTCTAAGATAAGCAGAGACTGTCTCCTCCTCCCTGTGGCCCGCCAGGGAGTCCCCGGGGGCTGTTGAAAACAGATCCCCCCTGGCCTTCCCCTAGCTTCTGATTCGAGGACCCGGGAAGTGGCACTTCCTAAAGCCGACGCGTTTGGGCGGGGGAGACGGCGAGGCCCCGCCTCCCTGGCTTCCGTGGAGGCGGGGATCGCGCCGGAAGGAGCAAGGCCGGGCGGCAGGTGCAGGTGGGCGCGGGGCGCCGGAGTCCTGGCGGGGCGCAGATTCCCCCTCCCCCCATCCCCCATCAACCGCCTGGAGTCTGCCGGCCGCCGGGCCCCGGAAGCCCAGCAGGGGCCTGAGACTGGGAGGGGGGCGGTGGGCAGGCGGCTGCAGCCCTGAGGCGTCGGCGCGCCCGTGGGCTGTGGGTCGGAAGTGGGGCGCTGGCCCTTCCCGCGTCCCCTTGGGCCCCCGAGGCTCACGTGGGCCGTGCAGTGGGCGAGTTCCCCTCGCGCGTATCAGCCCGCCTCTGGGGGCGCGCGTGGCGCGTGTGATGGTGTGCGGCTCGCTTTGGGGGGGGGGTGGCGGCTGGCAGGGTGCGCGCGCACGGGGCGTGCAGTGGATGGAGCTGACTGCGGTCCTGGGGCTTTTCTGTGACCTTGGGTGCAGCCTGACGGCCTCGCGGTCCCTGGGCTGTGAGGCGGACTTGATGACGTACAGCGCAGGCTTGGATACGTTTCCGTAGGCGGGGGCCCCGGCTCGGTGCGCTTGCAGGGATGGCTTGTCGTGGTCTGCACGCCGACAGAAATGTGGCACAGAGGGCTGTCCTCTGGCCGGCTGAGCATTTTCGGCCACCCGGGGAGGAACCTCTTCCAGGTGCACCCCCACCCCTTCAGTGAGGCCTTTGCCGCGGCTTCTGAGTTGATTCCTGCGTGGAAGGTAGACCCCCTAGGCCCTCTGAGTAACGGTCCCTTCCCCCCAGGATTGAGGGCCTGGAGTGGAATCTGCAAGGGGAGGGGCACAAGGCCAAGTTAGGGCTGAGGCTGGGGGTGCCTGTGCTGGGAGCCAGGCAGAGTTCACTTCCCGACCCTGGCAGTTCGTGTTAGGAAAAGAGTTGCAGATCGGGCCGGCGCCGCGGCTCACTAGGCTAATCCTCCGCCTTGCGGCGCCGGCACACCGGGTTCTAGTCCCAGTCGGGGCGCTGGATTCTGTCCCGGTTGCCCCTCTTCCAGGCCAGCTCTCTGCTGTTGCCCGGGAAGGCAGTGGAAGATGGCCCAAGTGCTTGGGCCCTGCACCCCATGGAAGACCAGGAGAAGCACCTGGCTCCTGCCTTCGGATCAGCGCGGTGCGCCGGCCACAGCGGCCATTGGAGGGTGAACCAATGGCAAAGGAAGACCTTTCTCTCTGTCTCTCTCGCTCTCGCTGTCCACTCTGTCAAAAAAAAAAAAAAAAAAAGTTGCACATCGGTGCCTCCTCACACGGGGCACCAAATGTTAGGAGGCATGGAATAGAGGAGGCAGTGTACGAAAATACAGCCAGACCAAATTTATCCAGAGAAAAGAAATCCGTAGAGGTGGGGGACCAGCTGCCCGCATGCACCTTGATGGAACACATGGCTGGAGGCCCTGGCACCCAGGGTCCGGGCACTTTTGTATTGGGGGGGGGCAGCAGACTGTGGGAATTCCCAAAACTGGTCTTTAAGTGTTTAAGTGTTCCAAGCAACCTTTCAGGTGGCTGTGGGGGGTGGGGTATCAAGGCCATAGGATGAGAGACCCAATTGCGATTCAAGGTCAAGGCAAACATTCCACCGTGTATCTCCTTGGGGCAATGAAGGAGAAGGGCGGAGGCTTCTTTGTTGCATCAGTTGGGAGCTTGACCAAGCAAAAGCATCTTCAGGTTCAGGGAGGGGGTGGCGGCCATGGAAACCTTGCTGTGAACCGAGATGGCCCCAGGTTTCTGGTAATGTGGCACCAAGGGGGAAGTGAGGTCTGGGATTGGGGGCAGGGGGCAGGTGAGGGGCTGGCACCTGGGCGGCCAGTCCTGTTTGCAGTGGGGAGCGTAGGGTCACTTCGAGGACCCTGCTGTTTCTCGTGGGAGGACACTCAGCCCTCTACTTCATGGCATGGATCCAGGCAGAGCCTCAAGGCGTAGGGCCTCAGGCACCGGGTGGGGGGGTGCAGGGCAGGCTGCTCTGTCCCTGCACCTGTTGTCTGCCCTGGCCCTGCCTGGCTCCTGGGAGTGGGCCCACTGGGGTCTGGGGCCTGCCCTGCGCTGACCAGTAGTCGTGACTGATGACAGGAAGCGTGCTGTCCAGGTCACTGGGGGTCACCAGACTTTGTCCTTCTCTTTAGACAGTCAAGACCAAGTTCCAATCAGGACAAGTAGCCCTGCCTTTGCTGGGATGCCAAGGGAGTGGGACGTGCTGTCAGCAATGAGAAACGCCCGCCCTTAAGCTTGGGTCCTTGCTCGTCTTCGCCAAAAACCAGAGATGGAGGACTTGGCATCTGGGACCAAGAAGAGGGTCCTTCCGTCCTGGATGACAGCCCAGGCGGTGGAGAAGAGAAAAGCGCCCGTGCACACCCCCAAGAGGAGGAGAATGGCCGCAGTGGCCATGGCCAGGTCAGGACATGCCTGGGAAAATGGGGGGGGGGTGGCTCCCGGGAGCCCCGCTGGGTCTCCCCACGTCGGCAAAGCAGGGAGGTGCTCGGGTGTCCCCCTCTGCCAGTCCAGTGGGCCCCTAAGCTGTGCCGAGACGGGGTGAGGGCGGCTCAGCGAGTGGTCTGGGTCTGTGCTGGGCTTTTCTCTGCTGTCGGCCTGCAGGTTTGGGCACACAGCTAGTGGGGTCATGGGCATTCTCTCTTGGACGCCAGGTGGCCAAAATGCCAATCTCTTGGTTTTCACCAAAATTGTGACATCCGGGGGGCAAGTTCAGGAGCCCAGGTAGCTGGTCCACTGAACCGTGCCTGCTCCGGCTGTGCCCGGGCAGTCGGGGACGCACAGAGGAGCCACAGGGACTACGGGACCTGGTAGCTGATTGATAGTAACGGGGGTGGGGGTGGGGGTGGTGCTTAAGGCTGCCAGCATCCGCTGGGAGGGGACATCCCTGCCTCCTGGCCAGGACTCTGGCTCTCCCGTTGCTAAGGTTTCCCAGGTGACCAGCACTGCCTTTCCCTAAACATACTCGTGCACCTGTCAGGCCCTCCCCAGGGATGCGGTGGGGGTGGGAAGCTTCCACTGTGGCCTCCCTGAACGGCTGTGTCATTCACCAAGCCACCAGGGATGCCGGAGGGGTCAGCTGCTCTGGGCCCTGTTTGTTCTCTCTGGGCGCCCCGTGTGAGTCTTCGTGTCCGTTTCAGACCCACGAGGAGGACGGTGTACTGCATGAATGAGACAGAACTCGTGGATGTGGCTCTGGGGATCCTGATCGAGGTAAAGTCGGGCAACGCTTCCCGGGCAGAAACCACACGAGGCCCTTGGCCACTTCAGCGAGAGAGGCACCCTGCTCTCCCAAGCACCCCACTCCTCAGTGCAGCACCCTAGAGGTGGGTGGTACTTTGGAGCTTGCCAGGTGCCTTTCTGTGGCACATTATCATCTCAGGGAATCCCCGCAGTAACCCAGGGGTGCGGTTACTTGACACTCTTACCCCAAGGGGCTGGCACGCTGGAACTTGGCCTCCGATCCAGAGCCAACTAGCAGCAGACCTGGGGTCCACACCATGTTTCGTGACCTGGCCCTCCCTCCGGTCCCTGCCTGCTTCTCTCCCAAGTTGGTCCTGGTTTTAAGAGCTGTGACGAGGTGCTGGGAGTGGGGTGAGGAGAGGAGCAGGCGGCCTCAGGCCTGGGTCCCGAGTCCCGGCCAAGCCCGGATGTTAGGGAGAGGAGATGCACACGCCGCGCCCGCCCTCTCTCTACTCTGCAGGACGGCAAACAGGAAAAGGCTGGGGAGCTGCCGTCCCTGCTGGGCGCCGATAAGCCGGAGGGCTCCCCCTCCCCGTCTCCTCACACGAGCTCAGGGAGCAGCAGCGACGAAGAGGAGGGAGAGGACGACGCCCCCGTGCCAGGCCTCAGCCCTCCCAACACCGCTGGCGGCAGGAGGCCGGAGGAGGAAGAGAAGGAGGAAGAGGAAGACGTGCTAAAATACGTCAGGGAGATATTTTTCAGCTGAGGTTCTCAGCGCTGCCCTGGCCCCCTGCCTCCGCGGCTCTGGGCCTCCTTGGTCCTGCCAGACCCGCCCCAGGCCAGAAGCCCTGTTTTAAGGGTTGGGGGGACTGGGGAGTCGAACCCCATTGTTCCCTGCACAACAGCTCTCCCTGTTCTGGAATTCCAATTGTTTTCCAATTGTTTTATTCAGTTACCAGCTTTCCTGGGAAAATGAGGCCCCGGGGTGGGGGGGGCAACCTGAGGGTTTAAGAGAGTGGTGCTGCCACTCCGTGCACAGGGACTGGTGGAATGGAGCCTGTGTCAGGTGGCTTCCAGCACGCGGTGAGCAGGCCCCAAGCTCTCCTGCAGCCGGCGGCCCACTGGCACACCAGCCCGGCCGGGAGGGCAAGACCCCGCCATGGAGGAGATGTCCTCGCACCACAGTCCCTCCTGCTACCTCTGTGTTCAGTGTGGCTTTGACCCAGACTGAACATAGCCGTGCCTTACAGGTGTCCCGATACACAGATGCTGGAAAACACAGAACTCCCCTGGGCGTGACGCGTGCTGCCGGAGCCGCCGTGTCTGTCGGGGGTAGAACCGTTCCGACCTGTTGGCCTCTTCTTATCAAGCGTTTGTCTCCTGGATCCCGCCCCGGGAGCGACTGGCCAGCCGCGTCCTGCTCCAGGCTACATCCAGGGGCCTGTGAGGGCAACCCTGGGCCTTCTCTTCATGTACCCTGTGCAGTCGTCCCCGGGCGACTCAGCACAGCCCTGGGAACTGGTGACCCCGCAGGGAGCTGACGTCCTTGTCCCAACCTCCACTGAGATCCGTCAGGAACTGTGGCCCTGGGCCAGGAATCCCTCCAGTTAGAACTAAACCGGGCAAGGAAAGCGGGGACCCGCGTGACAGCGAGGCGGTGGTTCCGGATGTCCACGGCAGCCATTGCGGTCCTAAAGGAGACATCGCCCTATGCTAAGAAGCTGCGGGGGCGCCCCCTGCTTGCCAGTGGGCTCCTTAGCTCCCGTGGGAGCTGGGCATTGGCTCTGAAGAGATGGCCCCGAGCCTCTCCGGGACCGAACCCTTGCACTGCGCTAACAGCAGCTCTCCGGCTTGCTCCCGTCCTGAGCCCTCGGAGAGAACACAGCGGTGGCCATGAGCAAGAGCAGGAGGAAGGCCTGGGCCGTGCCCAGAGCTAGAAAGGCCGGGCCCAGCAGAGAGAGCCTGAGCCACTTCCACACGAGGGAGAGGAAGAGGCCCAGGCCGCCGGCCAGCAGCACGGAGGCCGCGGCCAGGAAGCCCACCGCCAGCCGCCACTCCCCCTCGCTCCTATTACACCAGGCCAGGAGCAGAGGCAGGGGGACGAAGAGGGTGAGGACCAGGGCCCCGTAGACACCGAGCCTGGCCAGAGCCAGGCCCAGCCGCGGCACCCCGAGGGCCTCCAGCTCGGGGAACTGGTGACAGCGCAGGGCGCCGAGGTCCTCGTCCCACAGGCAGAAGTTGTAGAAGCCAAGTCTCAAGTGCGGCAGGTCCACGACGTTGCCGGCTCTGCAGAGGAGGGCGTCAAACAGCAGGGAGATGACCCCAGCCACCAGCAGGAGGATGCTCAGGAACGCCACGTGCCTGCCCCAGCGGGGCCCGGGCCCGGCCATCGCGCCTGCTCCGCACGGCGGGACCTGCGGGGAAGGCACACCGGTGAGTCCCAGCCCCGCATAAAATCCTGCAGCATCGTCCCCCGCAGCCCCCTGGGGAGCTGTGCAAACCTGCTGTTGCGCCAGGGCCTGGCCCGCCACGGGAGCTCCGGGGCTCATTCCGAGGGGAGGCTGAGCTGAGCAGCAGCGCCAGGACCCCCGGCCTGCAGAACTCATTTTTTGCGAAAAGACAAAACTGCATTTTAAAAGTTGTCCTAAATGAACACATTAAAGATTTTTTTTTTTTTATGTGAAAGATAGACTTAGATCTCCCCTCTGCTGGTTCAGTTCCCCAGATGGCTGCAGCGGCTGGGGCTGGGTTAGGCTAAAGCCTTGAGCCGTCACCTGCTGCTCACAGGTGTGCGTCAGCAGGAAGCTGGAATCGGAAGTGGAGCCAGGACTTGAACCTGTGTACTCAGAGGAGGTCTCGAGTGGCATTTGAATCACTGCGCCCAACACCCACCCCAGAAAATGATTTTAGAAGAAAAACAAGGGGGCTGACATTATGGCGTACTGTGGCGTACTGGGTTAGGCTGCTGCCTGCAGTGCCAACATCCCCCATCGGCCTGGTTCACAGCCTGGCTGCTCCACTTCCGATCCAGCTCCCTGCTAATGGTCTGAGAAACCAGGGCCCCCAGCCATTGTGGTGTGAACCAGTGGATGGAAGACCTCTCTCTAGCTCTTTCACATAAATCTTGAAACAGTTTTTTTTTGTCTCACCACTGTTACTGTTACTGCTTTACCAATATTGTTTTGTATGTGCCAGTATAAATTTTTTTCTACTGAGTATTGTAAATGTTTTTCAAAGCTGTTACATATTAAAAAGGACGAATGGCAACATATGTACAACATAGAATGATGCACTGAACTGTGATCGGGTCGTTTCCACTCTATTCTAAGAGACAGTGAAATTGAGTGTCCGAGCGCTGGTTGCAGTCTGATTGTCCCTCAGGCTGGGTACCCAGAACTGCAGTTACAGTGCCAGGTGCCGCACACCACCACACCAACCTCTGGAAGGCTCGTCGTCCTTCTATCACATCCTAGTGTCTCCTTAAGTATACTCATTTACATCATCTTTTCACTACTTTTAAACTCAAATTGACCTCAAACAGCAGTCTGCACACCATGCATTCTTTCTGGTTTGGACTAACACAGCCGTTTACGTCCAGACGTGACGAGGAACACAGTGCTGCAAGCTTTGCAAGACTCAAGGTATCAGGCTGGGATACCACGGGGCAGCCTGTAAGCCTCAGCCTGCAGTGCCCAGTGGGGTCCTGCAGGCACGTGGTGGCCAGTGGTGGCCCTGGGGAGGAGCCCAGCACCTATAGCCCTGATCAACTTCTGCCTGGAAGATCTGGCTGATTCTTCACACCAGGCCTGTTCTGCAAGGTACCACGTGGACAGAGGGGACAGGCTAGGATGGTGGCTGTGTTGAAAGGACCCGAGTGTACACTAAGAATACAGATTCATCAGTGACTCCTTCGGCAGGGACCTGGGCATGCTGGCCAGGGGGAGCTATCAGCAGCCATGGCTTGGCTTCCGGTGGAACCCAGCAGGGACACCTGGAAGTGGGTGAGTGAGGGTGTAGACTTCTGATGAACAGGGATGGAAGGTTCTTGGAATGACAGTGCCTGTTCCAGGAGGATTTACTGGGAATACAGAAAGTGGCCACGTTACTAGACTGGTATGGTAAGGTTTTCACCCATCTAGCCTACAACCTGAAATATTTCTTAGAGTCTTGGATGTTTAAAAAAAGTTTGTGGGCCAGCGCCGCGGCTCAATAGGTTAATCCTCCACCTAGCGGCGCTGGCACACCGGGTTCTAGTCCCGGTCGGGGCACCGGGTTCTGTCCCAGTTCCCCTCTTCCAGGCCAGCTCTCTGCTGTGGCCAGGGAGTGCAGTGGAGGATGGCCCAGGTGCTTGGGCCCTGCACCCCATGGGAGACCAGGAGAAGCACCTGGCTCCTGCCTTTGGATCAGTGTGGTGCGGCAGCCATTGGAGGGTGAACCAACGGCAAAGGAAGACCTTTCTCTCTGTCTCTCTCTCACTGTCCACTCTGCCTGTCAAGAGTATAAGATAAAACAGTTTGTGAAAGCCTACGGTTGTAGGTTTGTTCCCCTAAGTGGGTCCAGGGATTTCAGGGCGTGGAGTGGGTTTGAGTGGGAGGTGGGCAGCTTCTGTCTCAATACTCCCTCCTCCTCCCACTGAAATTGTTACACTACACTCAAGAAATTATTAAACGATATTTTGTCTTACAAAGACAGCTTAGTTTACAAATAGCGTGGCTGCTGGGGGGCGGAGACCGCCACAGCTCCCGCCAGGCGCCGAGCCTTTGTTCCCCATTTCCTCATTTTTTTTTCTCCACTGACCTTTGGGAGGCTCTCAATAGAGTGAAACAAAACCCGGAGCCGAGAGGCCAGGTCTGGGGATTGCAGATGGTGGCTGTCCCTGGCGGCCTTCTTTACTCCTTCTCACTTCTTTAGATGCACACAGAGTTCAGTGTCTACTGTTTGAGGCGCTCCACCATCTAGGGTGACTTAGGACTTGAGCTTGAATTCTACAGGGAGGCCAGCTCTCTTGTTCCCTGGTCTTGCAGTCCAGCCTCTGCTTAGGCTGTGCCCCTCTTGGTCACTCAGCTCCTAAAGCCCTACCCTCTTTTATCTAAATCCTAGCTCTGCCCAGGACCTTGCCTGGACACCTTCAGCCCACACTCCGCCTTAGCCATACACTGGAACGTATGTTCCACTTGGGGCTGGCACTGTGGTAGAGTGGGTAAAGCTACCGCCTGTGATGCCAGCATCCCACTGGGTCACTGGTTCGAGTCCCAGCTGCTCCACTTCTGATCCAGCTCCCTGCTAATGGCCTTGGAAAAGCAGTGGGAGGTGGTCCAAGTGTTTGGGCCCCTGCCACCCACCCACCCACATGGAGAGCAAGATGAAGCTCCTGGCTTTGGCCTGACCCAGCCCTGGATGTTACGGCCATCTTTGGAGTGAACCAGCAGGTGGAAGAATTTTTTTTTTTTTTAATTTATTAGAGATTGAGCTCCTCCATCTACTGGTTCACTCCCCAAATGGCTGCAATGACTGGAGCTGGGCCAGTCTAAAGCCAGGAGCTGCTTCTGGGTCTCCCACACAGCTGCAGGGGCCCAGGCGCTAGGACCGTCTTCTGCTTTCCCAGGACCATTTGCAGGGAGCGAGATGGGAAATAGAGCAGCCAGGACTTGAACCAGCGCTCACATGGGACGCTGGTGCCATAGGCAGTAGCTTTACCCACTGCGCTACAACTCTGGGCCCAAGTTGGAACTCTGTTTTTCACGAGTGGAAGTATTGTCGAGTTACTGCATTTCCACGTCTCGTATCGGTATCTTAACAGGACCGAGGGCTTCTTGCGTGAGCGCTGTGTCTGTCTCGTACGCACTCAGCCCAGGAGGGGGGTGGACCGCACGCTTCCTCCTCCAGCAGCTGCGTGTCGTGTGGGGAGAGGGCAGAGGCTGCTCCTGGCTGCTCCCCTGCATGTCTGGGTCACAGCGTGGATACTTGATGGGAAAACCTGGTCCTCTATTCTCTTCCGCTGCCCCTGTGTTCTGTTCTGGGCTAACAATTCTGGTAATCACGTTCTCCCCACAGTGAGCTGTGACATTCCTTTAATGATAAGCCTGCGTTTCCTCCAGGGGGCAGAAGGGGAGCCTGGGGAGTCACGGGGCCATTCCTAGCTGCCCTGTTTCCTGTTTACAGTAAAGTGATCCATGCTCATTGTAGAAAGCAAGAAACAAGGGAAAGCCAAGACTGAAGATCACTGATGACTCCAGGCCACAACACGTTTGCTTTCGCGCCCCGTTCACACAGCTGGGGTCACAAATACACCCGTTTCAGTCCCACTTTGTGGACCTCTCTGTAGTGAGTCGCTGGGAGGGTTCCAAGGCCTGCCTGTGGTTGTAGCATAGCTCATCATTTTTCTAAGTTAACTTTACAACATCACCTTATATTATAAGTGCTATGGTGAATGAATAAATGTATCCTCCCACCTCCTGGTTTACCAGAAGGCTCCACTCATCCTAATGTTGCACTCCTGAGTGTCTTCAGCTTCAATGGTAACCAGTGATGAGTCAGTGTTTGCTTTCCTAGTTGTAACACTGAACACTGTCAGGCCTTGTTGACCCTCTAAATGTCTTGTCTGGTGAGGTGCTAGCTGCTTTTTTTTGGTTTGTTTTGCTTTTCTAAAGAATCATGTCAGTTTGAGTTTTTGTTCTTCTCTCAACACTTTATAAAGGTGGTAAGGGGCCAGTGTGGTAGCATAGCAGGTTAAGCTACAGGTGCCAGTTCGAGACCCAGCTGCTCCACTTCGATCCAGCTCTCTGCTATGGCCTGGGAAAGCAGTGGAAGATGACCCAAGTCCTTGGGCCCCTGTATCTGTGGGATACCCAGAAAAAGCTCCTGGCTTTGGATCGGCGCGGCTCCGGCCATTGCAGCCAACAGGGGAGTGAGTCACCTCTCTCTCTCTGCCCCTCCTTCTCTCTGTAACTCTGTCAAATAAATCTTAAAAAAAGGTGGTAAACACATGGCAATCATAATTTGGCAATCAATTTCTGTCCCTAACTCTGCTTTTCAAATAAATAAATAGTTGTAACAACATATACTCCTGCTGTGGCGTGTGGCTCCCTGGACCCAGAGACAACTTGGACTCCAGGCCAGGCTGTGGGCTTGGCCACTGTCACTTGGGAACCACAGCACAGCAGGGCCTCAGGAGTTTCTGCTTAAAGGAAAGCGAGTTTCCAATAAGAAAAGTATTCTCAGGATTGGTCCGAGGTGGCTTTCTTGTTTGCTTAAACATCTCTACAACTTTCACACTAACAAAGGATGAGGGCATGGTGGCGAAAGAGACACGGACATTGGGATAGTAAATTCTAGATCATGTCCTTCTTAGGTGTGTATTCAGAGTCAGACTTTGGTGAGGCTGGGAGCTTGGGACAGTTAGAATCCTGGAGGTCACAGACATTCCTGCGGGGGTGGGGGAAGGAGGAGAGAGAGGCCCGAGGAGACACACATCCTGTCTCTTGCCACACGCTGCCCTGAGCCAGCACGAAGGCCATTGCCAGGGGCATCCTCGACCTGCACTTTCCGCGACGATGAACCAGAATCAGCCCCTCTTGTAACTCACTGCGGAGCTGGGGTACGGACAGGAACGTGCCTGGTACACGCTCGCATCACCTGCTGTTCCTTCTCCAACCCCCACCTCGCAGCCATTCTTTACACCTCGTTCCTCGGACGCCACGGTAGCTGTAGCTGAACATCCCGTAACTCCACTGTGCACAAATACTCATCACACACCTGTTTATAACTTGTAAGTCAACGCGGTTTTCTTATCCTAATATTTGAGATTCCCGTAACATTCCCTTCCCCTCCGTCTTTTACAAAAGACAAACACGAATAAAGAATCTTCATTCTTCCTACTGGGTGTTACCCAGTAACCAGACCTTATGTGCAGACGTATCAGCTGGGCCTACCTGAGGGTGCTGCTCCTCCCCGGGGCTCACTACCTCATGCCGCTCCTAATATTGCCCCCGCAGACTTCCAGAGCCAGAGAGACCCAGACACCATGTTTCCTATCAGATGCCAACTCCTCCGACACCGACGGGTGAGCCTTAACTGAAGCTACTCGGTGAAGAGGACTGGAGTGCCCACAGAGCAGTCCAGGACGCTGGCGTTCTTCCCCCAGAGGAAATTCATGTTCTTTTTTCAAAAATGTATTTGAAAGGCAGCGCTCCAGAGACAGGAAGAGGGAGAGACAGATCTTCCAGCCCCTGGTTCACTCCCCAAATGGCTGCAACAGCCAGGGCTGGGCCAGGCCACAGCCAGGAGCCCGGAACCTTCTTCCA